CACCAACACCACCACCACCACCACCACCACCAACAACAACAACAACAACCACAACCACGACGACGACGACGACGACGACGACGACCACAACAACAACAACAACAACAACAACAACAACAATTACAATTACAATTACAACAATTACAATTACAACAGTTACAATTACAACAATTTCAATTGCACGAGGTGTGAGCGGGCTCTGCACATGCGGATCTATGCACTCACAAAGCGGTGAAACCGACCTGTCCTTCTGTGAGCCATCGAGCTAGCAACAGCGGCAAAGCAAGAAATGATACCAGAACGTAAAAAATCAAAACAGATCACAGCACACCCGAGGCGAGCTAGGTTTGATAAATCGCAGTGAAAAGCTTGTATGCGGAATAGGCCGAGCCACCACCAGTATTACCTAGCGGTAGGCCCGGGGCCCCAGCCGATATGCTAAAGCACTCTCAGATCTGGGACCGATCCACGCCACGCTGCCCCGTACCCCTGTTAGGCCGTCGAGCACATGAGACTTGTCCGCCACCTCCACCGAGCAGAGTTGCCTGCTTCGGCTGCCCCGTATCCGTAGTGGACCGACGAGCACACGAGGGGCTTTCAGGATCTCCACGTGACAGGACCACGGTCACCGGCAGCAGCAGGGTAATCTGGTGAGGCACAATTCGTGTACCTGCAACTATCAGCTTGGAGTCTGTTGTGTCTCGCCACGTCCATGGACGTGCAGCTTGGATCACAGCCGGTCCGGGGCAAAGTGCATTTTTTGCTGCCTGATGCCGTCGGCGGATTGGTATGTTAGTCACACAAAAAGGCGCAGAGCGGACTGCTATGCGCAGCGGTCGCTGCTGTGGAAAGAAGAATTACTGCAGCATGGCAGTGAAATGGTTCTCCCAGGAGCGCCAGCCTGATTTGTCAAGCCTGGCCAAGGGCCCCAGCTACCTCTCACGCCACTGCCACGAGGACGATGAGGAGTAGTCTTGATCTCCTTGATCTTGTTCATAGTAGCCCTGCCACCAGCTTGAATGACTCCATCCCGACTCCTGCCAGTCGCTGTTGTCCCGGTGGCGCTTGTCAGCCGGATTGGTATTCTTGGCCTCGGCAAGCCGCTTCTGCTGGGAGAGATAGTTCGTCTTGCCCACCGTGTCCCCAATCCTATGGTCAATGCGCATAACGCATTTAACTACACCATCCACGGGCATGTGAATGATGAGTCGATTGACTATGCCACAGGACCTGCAGGTTTGGTCATACATGGACTTGACCGTGGACGCGACGATCTCAAAGTTGCCATCGGTCTCGAGGATGGCATCCATTTCCACACGGTCCCACATGTTCCTAAACAAGGAGCCAATGACTCCACCAAAGTAGGACGTCACACCGTCCAGCTCTCTGTAGCTGGTGCCTTCTCCCAATGAGACTGTCAGCCTGCCGTCTCCTGACATGACTAGCTTGGCCGTCATGGCCTCACCCCATGTAGTGCCCGAGGAGGTTTTTGCTAGCAGGAGCGGAGCGAAGATCCAAGCACTTGACCCAGGACGGAGAGGCGGTGCTGCCACAGACTAGCCAGTTCCGAGGCCCGAGGCCAACTGTGATGGGCTTCTCGCGGACCAGCAGAATGGTGGCCAGAGCGTGAACCCATTCAAATAGCTGATCCGACTGGCACTCCTGGATGATCCTCTCTCGTTTCGAGATCTCGGCCTCCTGCGCTTGCAGAGAGGGACCAGAGGTGTAGCCAATGGGAGTGTCAATGACCACTGGCCCCTGGACCTCAACCACAAGCAAAACCACAACAAACAAACTAACACACACACACATACGGCCGCAACCACAACCAGCAAACAAACACAATAAAATAATGGCACTAACAGTTGTAAGATTGATCATGATACCTGGCCTTCGCCACCGAGAGCATGGCCGCTGCCAACAATTGCTCCCCGGAGATCATGACGCGCTTGAGCATCATGTCCTTGTCAGAATGGAGTTTTCAACAACGATGCAATTAGAATTTCGGGCTCTACCTCAGGGTGCCCAATTTTCCGGAACTCCCAGAATGGACTGCAGTTCAAAGTAAACCCTCCTAGGTTTCCGCCCGGACCTCCCTCGTCAGGACGGCCGTGCAGCTGTCATAAGACAGGCACATGCAGAGAAACTTCGTAAGGATCGGCGATGGGGTGGTACGCACCTGGACGGCTCAAGAGCCCGAGGTATACTCAGAGCCAGGTACATGGAGAACTGTGCAAAGCTAAGGTGGTCCAAAATATGGGCTTCAGAAGCCTGGGGAGGTTCAACTGTTGAGGGAGTGTTGATCGCATCATTCCACCACCTCCACCCGCACCAGTACCCATGAACCCTGAATCTTAGGAGTCAAGTTTGGCAAGCATTCGCCTCGTGGGTGTGGCTGTTGCCCATGTGCCTTGGTCCGGCAACGATAACCAGAACTCTTTGGAGAATTCGAACGGTTTAGGGCACCGGAATACCTCCCCTATCAGCCTTGATGCCCTTAGAATTCTGATCGATTGTCCCAAGCGTCTGGGATGCCACTGTCTGGAAGAGACGCGCCAGCTCGCGATCGCTAGAAAGCTGCTCTGCCAGCTGCAGCACCTCGGTGTACAGCGTTTGGCTTGCAGTTTAGGTTCTACCAGCTCGGATTTAGGGCCGCAGTTAAGGCAACTTCCGATCGGAGCATTGGGGCATGAGGCGACGAGGGATGTCAGCGCATCGAGTGCGGCGGGCTCAGTCAGCTTGCAGCTTATTCCAGGGACCCACAAGCCCTGATTGCTCCGGCCAGCTCAGCCCGCATGAACCCTGAACTCTTGGGGTGCTCAGAGTTTTCCCTGGCCACGATGAGGGTGCTGCTGGCCTGCTTTTATGGTACCAGATCCTAGCTTTGAGCACGCAGCCTCCCGCCTCCTTGTTGAAGCGCTCAGCGACCCTCTGGCAACAGTGGAGGCTGCTCTGACCTCTCAGCTCCTCTGCCATGCCTCAGATGCGTCTTGTTTTTTTGCGACATGAAATATCAAGACTCCTGTTTAGTTGAACTTGAACCGCAGGAAACTCGCAAGAAACCGCAAAAAATCTCCTTCTGGAGCGACAAGTTAGGGCTTATGGGTTACTGCTTAGGGTGTCTTTGGGGTTTATCTTGCGCCTCACCATTCGGGCGCACACACCCCCAAGACTCCAAATCTCGAAGCTACATACCCAACCTTGGCCTAAGCCCTTGGCCCCCAAATCCCGCGACCAGGAAGCCCACGGGATTGGCTAAAAAGCATGATAAGATCCCCAGAACCATTAAAAACAAAACATCCGTAAAATCCAGAGAGCCCTATATCAGCCCTAAACACCCTGAAACACCTGACAACCCTAAGCAACCCTAGAAGGACCCGAATTGCTGCAAACTAGCCCCTTTCCCAAGGCTCTGACCCAGGAATTCCAGCAGCGGCTTGAGCCGCTCGCTGGCCCAGCTGGCCTCACGGAGCACCTCCATGTTTTGTAAGGCTTCATGAAGTTTGTAGGGCGTTGTAGGTATACGGCTTTAGAAGGTATGTTCGGGAGCATGGCTGATGTGAAACCCCTCATAGAGTTTTGGAGCCCGAAACGGTTTGGGATTTAGGTATTGCTTTGGAGCTCTTTTTTCCGACGTGCTCGATCCTTCGAATCAACCCTTCATGCACTGCCTCCGGTGCAAACGGATCCTGCTTGTAAGTACGCCCTAGGGTTTCGGCTTTGGGTACTGTTGAATTTGGGGTTCAAGGCTTGACCCGCAACTCTGCAACCTGATTTCCCGACAATTCCGGCTCGCACCGGCTTTTGGTGAATGTATAGCCTTGGGGTTCAGCTCCTTCTCGCCCGCTGGCAGCACGCGTCGGCGCTGTGCTGCCTTGCCTTCAGCTCTTTCAAACGTAACAAGGTTGGCGTATCGGAATTGGAGGTCTAGAGTTTAGGGCTTAACAGCCTGGTTCCAAATTTACAACCTATCAATACCGAACTCGGAGAACACACACACACCCATCTATCTGCATCTTGCTATCGACTTACCTTGGTTACCTACCTGCCTACCTATCTAGCATTATCCATCTAGCCCGGCGGCGGTGTAAGGTGTTCTGCGTCATGTACAAACTGTCACTGGGCCTGTTTCCAGAAGAAGACAGTAGATACAGGTCCGCAAACTAGAGTCCAACGTCCATGGCACACGAATGCTTGGAGACTACACAGCTACGCGTCAGCGACCGCATCCACTCAAGCTCTAATTTTGGCTTTCTTGATAGATTATATCGAAGCTTCCGTCCAATCGCCTCGCTTGCACCAGGTACCTCGTAGATGAAGAGACTCTGAACCCCGGACTCTAAAGCTCTAAAGGAAAAGGTGCCGAACCTGCAACCCGAAGCATACCCACCACGGAGGCATCATCGCATCTAGGGTCCTCTCTTGGTTTAGGGAAGTCTTGCAAGCGAATGAAGACAGCGTTTTGCCCCACTCAGTGTCTGACCGCTTTGAAGCAGCGTCGGGTTCGAGTGGGATGCGCTGCGATTCTGAGGCGACGCATCCGGGGAGGAGTCTCGGGTGAACTGCCCTGGCTGCTCAAAGCTTTTGGCTGTTGGCACCGCCTTGTAAGGCGGCTCTTGCTGGGCAAGGCTGGGGGGAAGCTGCGGCCTGGATTGCGTCGGCGCTGCTTTGAAGGGCAGGGTCGAAGAAGGGATCGGCAGAAATGGCGGGGCGGCTTTCGCCATCCCGGAACCTGCCCATGTTTAGGGGCCTTAAGAACTAGAATAGGGTTTTGGGGTATATTCTACTAGACTTATCTCACAGTAGGTGGCCGAAGATGTAATGGGGATTTTGATTTATAGCAGAAGCCAGAAAGTTGGAACATCAGTATCCTCATGACCTTGAAGTAAAGTATAGGGAGTCCTAGCACTAATCATCCTACATTCATATTCCAACTTTCTGGGGTTCACTCTATGTATTTGTTAGATGAGACGGAAGCTGCTGCAACCTTGACCCGTCGCTGTGGACTTTGCGGCTCTACAAGACCATCATGTAGCACATAACATTAGATGCTATGTACTGTGCATATATATATATATATAAATAAATAAATAAATAGATAAATAAATAAATAAATAAATAAATAAATAATATATATATATATATGCACACGCTGTACAATTTCTTTTTAAATTCCCTTGAAGGGAGTTAGAGCCCTGTGCGGTGAGACTTGAGAAAGTGAACTGTCGACAGTGTGTAGAGACTGCAATCACCATGCAGGACGATGACAAGAGGAAAGATGATGACAACAAGCGGGACAGCTCGTGCAAGTTTGGCTGTCTGCGTAAACGCCTAGGCCACGCCAGTTGCTTCTTAACATGCCGACTGCAACTCAAACCCCAAAAACATGTTTACACCATGTGTCAAATTAAGGGTGTTCGGGGAGTGCCTATAGTTTGGGTCCTCATTCGGCGCGGTGAAAAGAATCACTGCTACAAGAAGACCGTGTATCTTATTGCATCTGTTCTTTGTCCAGGTTTCCTGTGTTCCTTTGCAGGTACATCTTAGTGCGACTGCAGGGCGTGCCTTGTGCTAACGTCCGGCTTCTGAGCCACTCAGCAGCAGCATGACCTGTACACCCCCCACCATTTGCACATTTCCTTGCATGTGACATGAAACGGCATCGATTCGACATAAGGGTTCGCAGTTCAGCATTCAGCATCGGGCGCCCATCACTCATTACAATGCGTGGCTGAAATTGGTTATACTATCCGGCACATTCCATCTGGACCCGTCTTTTTAAAGAGTTCCACCAAGGTGTTGCATGACCCCGGACCCTAAACCCGAAAGCCCTAAAAGCGCCATGAAGCAAGTGTCCACGTTTCCCAGTATTTGGCTCCTCCTCTAAAACCTGCCTTCTTCAACCTGAAGCCCCAGAACTGCAACCCTGAACCGACACCTCGAGCACGACTACACCCTAGAGCCCCAAACGCCCCCAAAAACAGGAAACCCTCAAATCCCTCAACGCCTCAAAACCTGAAGCCCCAAGCCCGGAAAGCCCTAAAGAAAAAATCCAAAAATGGACCAAGGAACTCCCTCCGGGCTTCGCATCTTGCTCCGATGCTTCGCCTATTATCGCAGCCCCGCTCCACATGGAGACGTCAGGTTTGGGGTTTCAGGTAAGTTTCTGTAGAGCTCTTAAAGTTTGGAGCCTGGGACTCGGGCTTCGGGTCCCAAGGATACTAGGGTTCGGGGATTCGGCCGCTGGAATAGGCCACGGCTGGATTTACGTAAGGGTTCACTGCTCCGAAGCGTGTCCCACAAACGTTTGGATCCTGTGACTTATTAGCATTCTGAAGTCCACCCTGCCGATTGGGAGGGGGTTTAGGGTTTAGGGAGTCCGAGGTTTAGGGTTTGGAGTTCAGGGCTCGGAGCTGGGACGTTTTAGAGTCTCCTGCTTTAAGCCTTGAGTTCTTCCAGTCCTAGGTCTACATGAAGCCTCTAAGGCTCTTGGAGAAACACTCTCATCATCCGAGGCTTGGTAGCTCAGCAGTTCAGGGTTTAAGGACTTTATGGGCTTTCGGGCTGGGGGGTTTCCGATGGACCCCAACCCGCTGGAGTCGCATGAGCCTGGGCAGCGCTGACCTTCCCCCAGCCAGCGTCCGTTAGGATTCGACATACCAGCTTTGGTGGTTGTTTTGGAGTGAGTGTTCTTAAGCCGATAATGGAAAGCTAGCGTCTCCTCCCGGGGTGCTTTGCTGTGAATCTGCCTGGGCGTGGCGTTCCGGGTCTCATGTGGGTGCACGGGTGAATCCTGCAGGCCCAAAGCCTGAAAACCTGCAGCTCTGCTGACCTCCAAAGCTGCAGCCCTGAAACCCCGACCTCAGAATCTCAGAAGCCCTCAAACCCGACCTGCTCCTTCGGCTGGATGCGTGGATGCGGATCTCCATCCTCCAGGAATACCTCACCGAGAAGTTTCAGTAGATGGCTTCGGGCTTGAGGCACAAGGCTTTAGGGCCTTTATATGGTTGAAGGTTCAGGGTTGGGTTTGCCACCATCACATGGGTAACTTTAGTACAGACAGAAACCAAAGCAGGAACATACTGCGCTGCACCCGATGATGTTCACCACCCTTAACTCTCAGACCCAACGTCCAAAAACCCTGCAGCCCTACAGCCCTAACCCCATACCCTAGAATCCCTAGAAGCCCTCAAAACCCGACCTGCGCCTTCAGCCGGATGCGCGGGTGCAGATTTCACTCCTCCAGGAATACCTTGCCGAGCACCATAAAGACGGGTACGGGTTTGATGTACAAGACTTTGTGGTTCAGGGTTTCCCACCCTTCCACGGGTCAAGATGGCATCCTTTTTGGGCCTAAGGGCACAAACCAAGTTACCCCTCAACCAGAAAACTTGACCGAAAACCTATCAGGAGTCCACTGACAAGCCTAAGTAAGATACCAGAGATTCGTCCTGTGAACCTTGGAGTGCCACTTTCAGCAGTCTATTCTACGTCAACAAACTGGCAAAAAGAAATCATCCAAAAAGCCGTCGCAACCCCAAATGAAAAACTATCCGAACTGCTCTCTTGCTCAGCCCTCATGGAGTCAAAAAAAGATGCTCGATCTCCAAACCGCCAGCCTCCCTCCAACACCCAAAAGAGGCCGCATCTAGACCGCTACAGTGTCCCAGAGACTCCTTGATTAACCCTGACACGCCCAAGAAAAAAGCTGCTGCACCAAGCCTGAGCCGAAACCCCAGAATTCCTAAGCCCAAAACCCTAGCAAGAAAGGATACTCACAACAGAGCCGCGATGCCCTCAGCGGTGGCTGGCTGCGGCAGCTTTGGAGGGCTGGGCTTGGCTGTGGCTTTAGCTGCGGAGGGTGCTGTGGGTTTCACAGGTGCGGCGGCCTCGGGTGCTGGTGGCTCTGGTGGTGTAGCCTTTTGCAGCACTGTGTAGGTCGTGGCGGGATTGGCAGGTGCAGAGGGCTTGGCCTGTGGAGGCTTCGCTGGTGCGACTGTGGTCTCGGGTGGCGGTGGTGGGCTTGGTTTGGCGGGTGCAGTGGGCTTTGCGGGTGCCGTGGTCTGGGATGGGGGTGCTGGGGGGGTTGGCTTGGCAGGTGCTACGGCTTTGGGTTCGGGTGCTGCTGTGGACTCTGGGGGTGCTGGTGGCTTGGGCTTGGCAGGTGCTTCTGCTGCGGGCTTTGCGGGTGCATTTTCCGCTTTGGCTGCTGATGTAGCTGGTGGGGTTGCTTTTGGCGCTGCTGCTGTGGATGGTGCCGGGCACGGTAGGGCTGGTGCTGTGGGTGTTGGTGGTGGTCGCTTGGCGGGCGGGTTGAGCGGCAGCATGTCCGGTGGGGATCTGCCGAAGCTCGAGGCTTTTGCCACGCCTCCTTCATCTCGCATCGTCGCCCATGCATCGGCTTCTGGCCAGCTAGGTAGGCCTCACGCAGATTGGGAGCTGACGGTTTCGGGACCTCAAACCTTGAACACTCAAAGCATCCACCGAATGGGAGGTTTGAGAAGTTACGGCTGCACTGCTCAGAGACAACATCCTCCTGCATTCTCCGTGACAAGGAAGACATCACGATTTCCGTAGCTTTGGGAGTCTCACGGTGCAGGGCGGCTGAGGTAATTCTGGATTGTGTCTGTGGGGTTCCGTTTCTCCTCGCCGTTTCTATCGCAAATCGGAGATGCTCACCGTTTCCAAGACGAAAGATCCGGTTTCCAATTTTTGGGGGTTTACTATATTCAAGACGTCGAACTTACATCATGGTACTGGCCGCTCAAAAATACAAGGTATAACGTTAATATTGCTTAATTGAAGGGGTAGTGGAGTCTCTTGGGTAGGGAGGCCCAAGCCCTGCTCGAATTATGGTGTTGGGGCCGCTTCGCGGTTAGTTGGAGAGGGCTCCACGCATGATGCTGTAAACCCTGTAGTTATGTCCGGTATCATACTCAACCACCACTGTTCCGAAGGTTGTGGATCTGCAAGGCCATGCAATGGCTCGAGTCTTTAATATCTTGATCCTGCAAACGTATACCCTGTACTCCAAATCCCTAAACGCTAAACGATAGAGAGGACCGCACACTGCGACCCTTGAAGCAACAGGTGCTCAGGCTCATGCGTAATGATAGTGCCCTCAAGCAGCATCCTACTTTAACCCATCTACTGGCTGGATGCTTGAGTCGTAGACTCCCGAGCCCCGCTAAGCATGCAATGGAAACCGCAGCGATCTCCGCATCACTACCCTGCGATATTCTTGCATAGCCCAACCCTGCACTCCCTGTATTTGGCGAAATAGGTAGTTCTCTACACCTTTTTGTCTCTTGTCGGAACCGTACCAGGAAGGAGGGAGACCCAGGCAATCTGCCAACCCTAAACCATAGACGCCAAGCTCTGGAACCTTGAGCCCACACTGTACAGCCTGGTAGCCGTCCAACACCCAACCTCTAGAAAAAATTCAACTTCTTCACTTCCTGCAGTGCAGTGTGCTGTTTCGGAAGAGTAAAGCCTCCAGGGAAGGTGAGAGAAGGACCCGACTGTCGAGATGCGCCCCATACATCGCTTCCAGGGAACCCCTGAAACCGAAACCCCGACCCCTCGAAACCCTCAACAAGCAGGATTCGGATCTGGGGGCTTGTTTCGGACGAGGACTTAAGCTGGGCTTAGAGGGATGAGGGTTTAGGTTTCGGGCTTGACCATGTGGGATTGCACGTTTGGGCTTTAGGGGTTTAGGGTTTAAGGCCTCGCCTCATAGCAGCGCTTGCAGCAGAATCCTCCTGCCCACCCCCCCTCTGCCACTTTGTACCTGGGTCAGCGGGTTGCTGGCTTTGGGCACTAGGCTGGAACTCCCATTCCCGGCTCTACTTATAGGCTGCTGTTGGTATCCCGACCCTCAAACCTCTGCAGACTGAACCCGAAGAGGTTGAGCTGGTAATATAGGGGCCTGAGTAAACAGGCCAACATCATCCCCTTCTAGGTTTCTATATTTTAGTACGGAAAACAAAACAAGTGGAATGTCACCCAACGCGGCCAGGCTGGCGTACCGGTGGGGAGAGGGGCCAATGAAGCGATCTTGGGTCATGGAGGCAGTGGGGGTGCATATACCAGACTCTTTGATTGTAATAGTATATTCATCCGCATTGAACTAGATGTTATACAGTTATACGACAACTGTAACTGAATAGTAGGACGGAGGCTTATCGCAAATTGCTGAGGCTTCTATATTGCTAAAGCTATTAGGGCTTCACAGTCCTCATGGCTGAGAATTTAAGCAAGCTTTTCGATTGCAATGCCACCCCGTCGCATGACTGTAAATGGTAGCTACGTAAGTCAAAATCTTCCACGATAGAACAGGACTGCTTAGTAGAGCCACAAACTATTTCCGCCCAGACGCTGGCATTGTGGGTGAGCGCACATCTGGATCTTCTCGGCACTTCCATAGTTGCTCTGTCCATAGTACCAGCTCGGGTTGTTCCAGCCAGACCACGCCATCACTACTTCTTGCCCCTTTCCACGACTTAGTGACTTAGTGCTCAAACACAGGATTGTGGAATGCTTCGTGCCAGATTTCCTTCTGCTGTGCCCGGCTGTGCCTTAGTGTCATGACAAAGATACAAGACAAAAACTGCAAAACAATCTTGGGTTCTACTCCTCAACAACAACACAAGTCACTGGGCCGTACCTGAGAGCAAGGACGCGAGGGCGAGATTCGTCTTTATGGCAACATTATTCGGTGCAGTTGTATTCTGGTGTTCCCCCAGTCTTACGTTTTGTTTCCTGATGTTCTTGTGAGAGGAACTGTTACAGTTGCGTCTTACTTCGATGGCGGCTTTGAGGTTTCGGAGGAACGAGCTTTCGGCCAATGTTTCGGGACTGCGGTGCGTGAACCCCCCAATTCATGGATGGCGTTCTTAGACCTTGAAAACCCTAAACCCCTAAACCCCTGAACCCCAAACCCCTCAACCGCCAAACCCTAAAGCTTCACGGCTTGCACCTCAAGGTCTTCGATCGCAAGCAGGTCAGACTCACGAGAGGCGTCTAAGCTGGCAGCTCTGAAGACGCCTGAAGCCCAAACCCTGAACCCAGACCCAAAATTCCGAAAGCAGAAAGGGCTCGTTCAGAAGTAAGCAACCCTGAATATCTCAAAAAGCAGAAAATCACAAAACTAGGCCTTAAGGTCTATCAACCCCAAAACCCGANNCCCCCCCCCCCCCCCCCCCGGTTCGCAAAGAAGAAAGATCTTGTTCTCTGAGCATTGGCTAGTCGGCCGGTAGCGCCCTACTTGGGTCCAGTGAAGCGACCTGAGGCAAGGAGATGTCATAATGTAGGGGCCTCCATAGTTAAAGTAGGGTTTTGGGGGCTCATGTATAGCATAAGTATAGTAATGGAACCCTAAGGGATAACATTCGCAATTATTTTGGCTTCTATATTTTGACAAAACCACGCAATCCCTCATCTACGACTGCGGGGTAGGAGTCTTATACCTAGAATAGGATTCTTTTAAGGTTAACGGTTCCTGTCATCGTTGTATTGTACGATGGGACCAGGCTTCGTATTTGGGATACTTTACAACTACGGCCCAGAACGATCATACACGAAGCATGCTTCCTACCCACACCTTGTGGTTTCTTCACCCCAAACTCCTAACCCCAAACCTCTAAACCTCTAAACCCTGAACCCTAAACCCGCTAACCCGTAAGAGCCTCTACCACATTCTGCCTCCCCCTCCCCGCCCCTCACAAAAAAAAAAAAAAGCAGCACTGCCGAAGGCGGCCTCGCATGCCAAAGGCCAACCTCCCAAGCAGCTTCCAGGGTTTAGGGTTCCTAGGGCTTTTAGGGCTTTTAGGGCTTTTCAAGGATTGGGATTTCATGCGTTTAGGGCTCAGGGTTTAGGATTTTAAGTCCCTTGGAACTTTAAGGGCTTCAGGGTTTCAGGCTGTGGGTTCTTAGGTTTCTAGGGGCGGTCGACAGGATCCGGGCGTGCTGCACATCTTCGGCTGACCCTGCACAGCATTACTGTCGCCACCGCCAGCATTACACCAGGTCACAACATATCTGCGAGAACGGCAGCAAAAGCACTGCCTTCTGCTTGTACTTGAACTTTGCTTCTATGTAAAGGCAGGCAAACCCTGGCGTCTACGATCGCTGCACATCCATCCAGAATGCTGCCGGATGGGCACCCGTTCGTTTAACATCCCGCCACTTTGATCCAAGTCTACTTGCGTAGAACCTCTGTTGCCACTGAGCGGTCCAACTTGCGCAGCAAGCGACATCGCAGCCACCGTTGAAGGACCCCAAGCAAAGAAGCTACAACGAGACCTTGTCATAACACACACACACACACACACTTGCAGGATACCTCCCAACCCCCAGATCCTACAGCCTAAACCGATCTTGACAAGCATGGTAGTAGGATGGATCCCCCGACAGAGGTTGGCGCTCTGAGATTTATCCTAAGACTCTAAGGTCTCATGATGTAGGGCCTCTGTTCCTAGGGGCCATACTACAAACAGCTGTCTGCAGCAGTGGCGGTAGCATAGAAGGAGTAGGAGTAGGAGCGGGAGGAGTAGCAGCAGTAACAGTAGCAGTAGCAGGAGCAGGAGCAGGAGCAGGAGCGGCAGCAGCAGCGGCAGTCGTCGTTGTTGCTATTTTTTAGCTTCTGTGTTGTGGCAGACATAGCAGTTAAAGAGGCGCGATGTAGAGGAGAGGAAGACGAAGAACTCGCCCTGCCTTTGACCCCGCGAATGAGGATGGCCCGGGCATTGCCGTCGGTTGCCTCGACCCTGTCAAACACGAAGACAGAATGCCGGTGCCGCTCTCCGAAGCCTTATGACGGTGTCAAGGGCTTGTATTGGTCTTGCGAGGATTGCTCTTAATCTTGATTCGAGTCCTCCTGCAGTCCTACAAAACTCAAGCAGCCCAACCTCTGCGTTGAAGAACTTTGAGGTAGTTGCATGACAGACGAGTGGAACGCACCGCAACCAACGACATGCAACACCCATTGTCACATGGAACACCTATTGAATATCGCCAAAATGCAACCAGTATTGTATGTCAGCGAAACAGGTCAGGAGATGACGCCTTTTGCCAAGGCCCAAGCCGAGACATGATAACACAGCAGACACGGCAAGACACGTGGCTCAACAGATGAAGCTCAACACAACGAACCGTAACGTACTCTCCAAAAGAGATGGCATATCGAAGGTGTAGGGCGCACTGCAGCTGCATCCGCACATGCCTCATAGAGCGTGGAAGAACTGCTGTGCGCTTTGCGACACCGGTACGACATCGCTTAGGTTTGCCACACACCTAGACAGCATGCGACGCTGTCCTTGACAGAGAGCCTAGCCTTTGACAACGTTCACGTAAAATTCCAGTTACTTTCTGCTTGATGTGCGTGCCGCAGGTAGCGTTTTGTATGCTTCCAAGACATCGACTTTCCGCGGTAGCACAACACGCATGCACACCGCCCACAAACCCAACACAGTCCGACCTCCGATACTCCACAAACTCGCCCTGCATGAGATACCTTGAACGGCTCTGGCGCTTGCACCACAGGGCTTAGAGGTGCTATCCAGATCAGGTTAGTAGTGCTGAGGATACCGAAGAATTTGAGTACTATCACCACCACGACTACAACTGCTCTAGCCGGACCACTACCAGTGACTAGTAGAGGTTGGCGACGACGGCGACTTGGACTAGTGCTGCTGCTGCTGCTGCTGCTGCTGCTGCTGCCGCCGCCTCTTCCTCCTCCTGCCGATGCTCTTATTGCTCTGCTTTTCGTTCTCCGTAATCCACCGGTAGCACCATTGCAAGTCGTTCTGCCCTGGGTTGGAGCAATGTATAACCAGGCATCTGACATGCGAAGCGAAGATTCTCAAGTTTAGACACGCGAAAAAGTGGAGTAGGTGTGTCCCAGAGGCAGGGTTTGGCTCGACCGGGCAGTACAAGTTATGTCGTGCTGTCGTTGCTACTGTTTGGACATGGATCCTGGAACCGGCTTGCCTTGAATAGCTAGAGGCTTGGCTCGATCTACCCCAGGTTTGGGCTAGATTGAAGCACAAACACGATCAACGAGGTCGGATCATACCAAATCAGATCAAGAAGTTTAGAGGCGCTCAGAGCCGAGGGCTATGCAACAAAACACCAGCCAGGGCGCTTCGCTTGTGGATGCACGTTTGCACCCGTCGTCAAGGCCGCAGAGACCACATTGACGGCGACTCGGTCGACGAAGTCAATGACTTGACCGCACCTGAGGGATCAACCAGGGTCAAACAACAGCCGCAAGAATCTAGACTTGGAAGCCCTAAACCTCAGCTCCCAACCCTGAACACATGGCAGCATGAATTTCACTAATCTCCACACTTAGGATCAACCTCCCCAACACAAGACAAAGAGAAAGCATCCGAAAGCCATCTACACCCCCAGCCCCAAGCCATCCCGAGCCGACACGCAATTGGACAGGCGCAATGACCCTGAAAGCCCTGAACTTAAAGCTCTAAAGACCACCCGAAAGCACTCTTGAGCCCGAGGCCCCTGAACTCGATCCCACCACTGGCACCAAGCCTCGGGACGGCGCTTCTTACAGGGCCCGGCTGCGGGTCGCATGCTGTTCGGGTCTCCATTGCAGTTCCTTTTGGGGGGTTTCCCTTCTAGGATCCTACAATATCCTAACTATAAAATTGGTCTAGCCAAAAAGGAACTACCATGGAGACTAGAGGTAGGGTTTATAAAGTTCAAGGTCGAAGCTTCGTTGCAGGCTCAGGGCTGGGGCCTAGAGACGAGAGCCACGGGGCCGTGGGGCTCTCAAGGCTTTACGGCTTGGGGTTTAGGGGTTTTAGGGTTTAGGGTTTAGGGTTTAGGGTTTAGGGTTTAGGGTTTAGGGTTTAGGGTTTAGGGTTTAGGGGTTTAGAGGCTTAGGGCTTTGGGGTTCGAGATCTCCCCTGGCAGCTCGACCCTGATACAGCGCTCTTCGATCTTCTGCTCATTCTCGGCGGACATCAGGACATCGGAATGTTTCGCCGCGCATGGAAGTAATGAACGTGGAAAAGCGGCTAGCAAGCAGTTCCCTCTTGAAAGGAAGGTCGTCACTTGATGGCCGCTTTCTGGATTCCGTTGCCCTAAGCCGCGAAACTCCAAAGTTGTGGCACGCCCTCACCGCACCCGAACCCAACTTCTTAGCCAAGTCTCTCGACCCCAGACCTACATTAGAACTTAGACCCAACATGGAAATTGAAGCCTGGACGGGAAACCACGACCTACACCTTCAACCAACATGTCCAAACACCGAAATGCCCAACTGCGCCCAGCAACCCCAGACCTCAACCAAACCAAAATCCCAACGTCACAAACTCCGACATAGTCAAAACCAAGGTTTAGGGTTTAGGGTTTAGGGTTTAGGGTTTAGGGTTCAGGGTTTAGGGTTTAGGGTTTAGGGTTTAGGGTGTCAAAACCAAGTCAACCTCGATCCCCAATCCCTCAAACAGCTCTAAAGCCTCTGCTGCGCCGGGCTCCCTGGCCACCCTCGCCGGGCCAAGCTCACCCACCATCTGCATCTCCTCCTGCCGGGTCGAGATGATGCCGGGTTCAGGCTTCGGAAACCGGGGGCTGGGGTTTAGGGTTTAGGGTTTTGGGTTTTGGGGTTTAGGGTTTAGGGTTTAGGGTTTTGGGGCTTAGGGTTTAGGGTTAGGGTTTGGGGGTTTAGGGTTTAGGGTTTAGGGTTTTGGGGCTTAGGGTTTAGGGTTTAGGGTTTAGGGGTCTGGGGTTTTAGAAATTAGGGGCCGGGGTTCTCCAGGGTCAAGCCGTGGAGCTGCAGGCCACCTGGCAGGGCTTCCTTGACCCTGAACTCACGGCATTGCCCATCGTCATGACCCTTCTTGCTATCCCCATTCTACCTATAGTCTCCATTGTAGTTCCTTTTTTTGGTGTAACCAATTATATATTAAGGATTTCATAAGGTATCCCCCAAAAGGAACTACAATGGAGACTACAGGTAACTTCGACCTTCATCATCAGCTCCTCCTTCATCCTTCTTCCACATCACCGCAATCACTTCTTCTAGTTGTTCGCAATGATACTGCCACTGATGCGCATGGAAAGAACACACTTGCTGATGGAACTCGCAGTAGCAGAGCGACATAAAAAGAGAAAACGACATGAGTAGCAAGGGCATGGGCACGGGACTGTCAGTTAGTTTGGAGATATAGTACTCTGCCTTTGCCCAGGTTGGTCTAGGACCTTTACACTCTCTGGAGTGCCTGGTAAGGCTCCACGTGCCATGCCGCGAACTCCGGACCGTCTCGGGGAGTGCCGAGGACCTGCGGTGCAAAACAGCAGGAAAACACCGAGATGCACTAAACACGGCACGTGCGCGCCATTGTTTGTGAACAATCTCCTCAAAGTTATTGGGTGAAGCCGGCAACAACTTCTGCAAAGCCACCTCGGGGAGGCGGACAGCCAGCATTTCTTGGGTCGGCTCCTGCGTGCAGGCGGTCCAAAGGTCTCGTTTCGGCATCCACTTGTCAGAGGAGGGTGGGTCCTTCAGCGCTGTGCATGGCGCATGAGAAGTGCCCAGGTGCAAACTAGAAGACGCCCTCTGAACGGACCCGGCTTCTGTGCAGGTGCTCTCACTCTGTGGTCTCCACGGAGTGATCTAGACCCATATATGCAACACAAAATCTAAGAGAGCACAGCAACACTGCTACAACTGCTCACAAAAAACGACGACAACGGCGAGGGCGGCGACGACGGCGACCCTTCAACACTAGATTCGATAGAATTAAATAACGTACTCATAGCCAATATCAGATGACTGGGCATAGCACTGTTGGTTCTCAAGGGGCAAGCCCGGCATGTTCCGAAGGCACATCGCCCAACACTCGGTGAGATGCCAATAACAGCTGCAGCCCATGAACCCCGTCTCCTCCAGCTTATCCTGCAGGTACTGGCCCCTCGTCTCGGTGGGAGCATCCTGGAAAATTCAGTTCGAAGGTCTTTTCATATTGGCTCGGCCTTCTGAGGAATTGAAGATTTCAGCCTCTGCTTTTGTTAAGCTTATTGAGCTTAAGGTCTGAGGACTTCGGGGGGCCTTCTGAGGATTATGAAATTTGCAGGCAGCCAAGCCTCCAACCCTGAACCCACTGCCGCGGAGCGCTGAACTCAAGTCTCGGGTTTTGGGGTTGCGGGTATCCGGTTTCAGGGCTTTCTGGGGTTCGGAGGGTTGAACGGATTAGGGTTTGCGGTTGCGGAAGTTTCTTGAGGTTTAAGGCTTTGGGGTTACAGATTCCAGGTTTCTTGAGCTTCTGCTGCAAAGGGCGGGGTCGGAGGATTACACACATTGGTCTTATTTAAGAGTCTTTAGGGTCTGTTCGGGATTGGGTTCAAGGCTTCTTTCTGGGCAGTTGCAAGCTTCGGGGCTCGGAGATAGCTCCTGGGATTCCCGGGATTTAGGGTGTAGGGCTTACGGTGTAGTCAGTACGGTCCAGGGATTTCGGGTTACGGTATGGGTCTGCTTAGAGGAAGCAGACCTGGAACCTCTGAATCCGAAAGTCCGAAAGCCGAAATCAAGAACCTCAAACCCGCAAAAGGGAAGGGACCTTCCTATGGATCCCGAAGTAGTCGGACACTCATCAGGAACCATAAATAAGGGGACCAACCTCCAAAACTAAAGCCCATTCACCCGAAGTCGGGTCTGCGGGACCCGCAGTCGAAGTTCCTCGTAAGTCAAGGAGAGAACCAGACATTCCAAACACAGCCTTCGTAAGGTCTTAGCTTAAGGCCTTTTCCTGAATCAAGGGCCTCACACCCTTTCACCAGAACCAACCTATGTACATTGTCCTTGAAAGGCCATGAAATGTCAAGGGCTCTGTGGAAGCCGGCGCCACCTTCAAGAGCTGCTGCAGGTCTGCCAGGTACTGCTCCTTCTGACCTCCAGTCGCCATGACGGGCTGATTTGTGGGACGGAGATAGATCAGCGGTGAGGCGACTAGTTCAAGCCACCTCGGTCTACGATCGTCGAACACGAAAGTTGGAGACTCCAAACACTGCTTCATTCGCGCCCAGCCTCAAAGTTCAGAACTACGAGTACGGCAGGTCCGAAACCCCGAATCTAGATTTCGTTCCTGCAGGAGCCTTCATAGTGACTCGATTCTTGAACATTCAATGGGGTTTTCAGCGCCCAGCATAGCATACGTAAGTACAGGGCCTACAGCGGCGAGAAGGGGATAGTATTTTTGATTCCGAGCCCAATATGAACCCTGAACCTGCGATAGACCGAGATCAAGGCTGCCGTAGATCGCGGCACCCTCCTTGCCAACTCTTATGCGAGGCAAGAGCATGCCAAGGAGGACGCACATAGATTTCAGTTTAAGGCCTTCGGGCTTTGGGTAAAGTTTATGTACCGAATGCAGCTGCGAGCGTTGTGAACATCTGTGCAGCATTAAACTTGTATGTATATGTATTATTGTCAAATACACATATAGTACCGGTTTATGAAGCGTCTGTTTCTCGCAGTGCTGGAACCCAAAGATGCCGAACAAACCCGCAGATGCCACAAAGATCTGGTGACGTCGTCTGAATGCTCTGTCCTGGTGCGTCGGCACTGGCAAAACAGTCTTCTTCTGTCTGTCAGGTACTAACCGACCCGGAAACTGTTAAAACTCGAAGCTGATAAGCCCGCTCATGCTCTCAGGACTCCGAGCTTGGGGCGCAAAGGCAATTGCACTAAATCCTGCTCCTGCACTAGTACAATTAAGTACAGCTGAAAGCTTAAGGATTTGTTGAGTGAGTTTTGGGAGCGGGGCCTCCACGACGTAGCCCATCAGCTTCTGCCGCCGCTCAACAAAGCGACGTTGCTTTCGTTGCTCCTCCTCCTCCTGGCTACAGACGCGATTTTGGTGGCGATTTCTAGGTAATTTCCGGTTGAAAAAAGGATTCACACACTGTGCTGTGCAGATCGACATGGAGGAAGCAAGTCAGTAACAAAGTGCTTCTGTGTGTTCTTTGTCGGCAAGCTCGGTATGCCTTCCGACATGAACGCTGGTCGATGTCGTCAAACTGATGATGTGGGCTGGGCTTTGTTGTGGCTGCGCTCCAACGACAATGGTGCTGACCGCCGGCTCCCTCTGTTTGTCTACGGAACTCTGAACCGCTGTCACCAGAAAATCGAGTAGAGCTCACTGCAAGATCTTCCGATGCAGCGTGACCCAAGAAAAGTTAGAAAATGATAGCTGGGTTGCTCTTTATTGCCTTGCTAAAATTTTAACTTTTAGTACCCCTAATATCAAAAAAGGCTAATCCTAAAAGTGATAAAGCTATAAAGTGACTGTAAAGTTCAACCAAGATAGAATAAGGATGCCAACAGAATCTGCTCTCAGGCTCGGGCGTCGACGATCTCACCTGGGGCGCCCTGCCGAGACTTGGGCTTCAGGGCGGGGCGACGAAGGAGTTGTGCGATCATGCTTCTAGCATTACTTCTTGCCAGGAACCTAGAGAGTACTTTCGGTTGAATCTCAGTGTTACGTGTGTATCTTGCAAGTCTCTCGGGCTTACGATGCGACGGTGCGACTGGAAGGGATTCAGGGTTGGGAGCCAGTGATCTGGGCAACACACCATGGTTTAGGCTGATATCTACATTTCGAGTTTGTTTCGTCCTTGGTCCTTGCAGTTTGGAACTACTGCCCAAACATGGCTATTGCTCGCTACCTCCTTCTGCTATCAGGCAGCTGCTATGCATACCCATCCGCACAGATAGAGCCTTGGGATGGAAATGGCGACCCGGCTCATAGTCTCAAAAAGCTCACTAAAACAGACGGACTTCAACTCCGAAAGAAAACAACTCTCTGTACCGTGACCGAAACTCAACTGGACGATCGGAGAAGCAGAAACATCTGACGACGCCACATGATTTAGAGTCGATCCTACAAGCAGCGTTCTGCATCCGTTGGAGATTCCGGCGAGCACGCCCTAGCGCCCCCTACTGCCACACTCTTGCAAACCAACAATCCGGAGCAACAACCTCCCTTCACCTGCTCATTAGTCCGTTTGCTGACACCACCAAAATCCAAATCCTAGACTGACAAAACCAATCTGCTCGAGAAGGCAAAGAAGTCGGCGGCAGGATGCGGTAGGTGAGCCTCAGCGCCTGCCTGGGGATAAAACCCCCCTGCTGGCAGCTCCGTGGCCTCCAAGCGAAGCTATTGAGGGCTGTTTCAGGGCACTTCGGGTCTAGCACAGTTGCAATTAGTCAAGGACGCCGAGCTCGACGCATTGCTGGCTACGGCAGCGGGTGCTCGAAAGCACAAAGTTTCGGAAGAGCAAAGGTTCGATGAGGTGCCAATTTAACCGCGTCTATTGTTGTTTCGTTATTTCGTGCCTATGGTTACTGAAACGACTGGTATTGGAGCGGAGCATGATGGAGAAATTTCGATCAAAGCCATGCGATACTGAACTGCACGCTGAATCGTTCCAGCGCAAGAGTGCCTTTTGGAGCTGCGCATGGAGGATCCATGAGCCCCAGAGGCATTCTGAACTAAGTATGCGATCTTAGGCGACGTAGGGCCTTCGGGTTAGCTGTACCTCGGCAGACCACGTACAGCGTACAGTGACGGCTAAGGACTTCTAGGATTCTTCTGGGGGCTCTGCGGCTGAACTTTCGACCGTCCACCCCTCGCAGCTCTTTGCTTCCGGGACCTCGTCGAGGTCGTCGTCGTCCTCGACGTCGGGTCCGGCCTGTCTTTTCAGCGTACGGCCACGGCCGAAAGCCGAAAGAATCTCGCAGAGGTGACGCACAAGCATGCATACATGAGTGTTTATATGAATGTGTATATATATATATATATATACATATCTCTCTGTGCTCGTGTAGAAGTATGCATTTTATGTGTATGTGCATGTGCCTGCAGATACAAACATGTACAGACATATCTTTAGGTACACACACACACACATTCGCATATGTAGCCATGAACACGCACACAGAGAAGTGCGTGTGTGTGTGCATACATATATATATATATATATACAAATATTATCTTATGTTACATCATCTATTTGCTTATTGATGTATGTATACGTACGGATAGGTATGTACATACTATATATGCATATTGACGCATACATCGTATGTGTCTGCGCTGATGCATACGCTTGTGCGTACATGTAAATGCATATAATAGGCTTATACATTCATAACTATAGGAAGGGAGGGGGAGGAAGAGCCAAACAACGAGAGCGAGTGAGAGAGACAGCGAGAGAGCGAGAGAGTGTGTGCGTGTGAGAGAAAGAAAGTGACACAGATGCACATCTACGCATCGTATACGTGCATGTGGTGACTCAATGAATAGTACCTGCGTTGAGATGAAACAAACAAAGCGAAACTGTGGTGCAGGGTCTCTGGCTCCAGTAATGGTTTTTGGGTGGCTTCGCATGAGGGATCCTTCACTTGAGGTCTTCAGCAGGCAATGGCTTCACCTCGTGCATATGGCCGAAGCGAAGTAAGCTGAGGCTGAAATTTTGCACTTAAGGGTTGACGAGGAGAGCCGCAGGTCATGGCAGTTCCAAACTCTTGGGGGCTGGCAACCAAGCTTTCGCCGAGGCTGATCTCATATTCCTCCTCAGGCTGCTACATGTTGCGGTGATGGGATTTAGACGGGTCGGCTTCCAGGGGTAGCTGTAAGAGCAGCGGACGGACACACGATAGTCATGCAGTTCAGCACGGCACAGGAACAAGCCATGGTGCAACAAGCGACCAAGTACTATCATGACGATGGCGATTTGGATGATGATAACGATGAAGATGAACCTACTGATGATGAGGCTGAAAATCAAGATGAAGATATAAAGATGAAGATGAAGCTGAAGAGGAAGAGGATGAAGATGATGACGCTGGTGAAGATGGTAATGACGACCAAGATGAAGATAAAGAGGAAGAGGAAGAAGAAGAGGATGAATATGATGGCGACGATGATGATGATGGTGATGATAATGACGACGACCATGAAAATGAAGATGATGACGATGATGATGATGGTGATGATGATGATGATGATGATCATGATGATGTTATGGTGATGGTGATGGTGATGGTGATGGTGATGGTGATGGTGATGGTGGTGGGGTGGTGATGGTGATTGTGATGGTGATGATGATGATGATGATGATGATGGTGATGATGATGATGATGATGGTGATGGTGATGGTGATGGTGATGGTGGTGGTGATGATGATGATGATGATGACGACGAAGACTGCGGTCTTCCGTAGGCAAACCCCACTTCTGGGTAATCGCTGTCCAGGATTTCCTGCGCACTCTGACTTTCCGGTAAAGGGTCGCCAGGCATGATGAGCACGAACTCCCGAATGGGCCTCGATCAATCATTGAAAGGACCTGCCCTGAAGCCGAGGAGTCTCCTGGGAACCGCTGTGGCGACTGCTGACTTTGGCTGCCGCCTCAAGGAGGAGGAGGAGGAGGTTGGGGGGCCCTCGATGTAGGAGTCGAAGCTGTAGGGCCTTTTGGGTCAAGCCTCTTTTTCCTGGCTGCAAGCTTCGCTTGGAGTCTTGGGTACCCGAGGCCGAGCCCCAAAAAGGCCCTAAACGCTCAACTTAAAGGAACCCTTAACATTTGTAACTTAGACAAAGCCGAATACTACTCCGTCGCAGCGAGGGCTGTTCTACACGGCCACCCTGAGACTCTGACAAGGTGAGAATACTGGCAGTAGTAGTACTAATGTAGGAATATTCATTGACCATGCCAACATCGAACGAGCTCAGGACCTGCTTTGGGACGGTGTGGTTATTTTGTGGCTGTTGGACAAAGCCTCGGACCAAGGACGACTCGAAAAGCCCGGCTGGTCTCAAACCGATGTACTTAAGTTTTGCAGTCCTTCGTCAAAACAGGATTCGTCAACAGATCTCAGACTGTCAGATTGTCCAATATACTCCTAAAGCCTGCATCGTCTACAACTCCACGAATACCTGGATCGCGACGCAGGTGATGCCCAAAATGGCACTTCTAATGTCAAAAACAGGCTCAACATCCATCCATTGGTAGCTTCATTCTGGTGTGCAAGAGATCATCCGCATCCAAAAGCCTGCGACATTCAACCGTACAGTATCTTTACCTCGTGCTTAAGCTCGGAGTCCCAAAGCCTACAAAACCCCCTAAACCCTAAACACTAAACCCTAAACCCAAAGCCCAACTCAAAAGAAGGCCTCGAAGATCTCGGCCACTGCCGCCGGCCGTCGGCTGCTCCGTGAGACCTCGGGCGAGCTGAGGATTCAGCAGAACCGGGGCCGAAGGCTGAAAGACCTTCGATTCCTCACGGGTCTGGGGTTTAGGGTGTAGGGGTTCGGTTTAGGGTTTCGGAGTTTAGGGTAGTTTTCGGAGGATTTGGTGGATTTCGCGGATTTGGGCTCTTGGCGCTCGTCGGGTTTACTTGATAAAGAAGGCTGGGGTCTGGCCTCACAGCTGTCCTGTCTACGCGACAAGGCAGGTGCTGAGTTCTCCCGACTCAGCTCTTACTCTAACCCCTACAGAAACTCTCCTAAATCCGAAAACCCTAACTGATACTCCCAAACCCGTGAACTCGGGCAACACGTCCTCAACTGGGATCCCCTGCGCCAGACCGGCCTCTGACGAAGCGGAGACGCTTTCTCTGATGCTCACAGGTTCTTTCGGGGTTGGTTTGGAGTCTAGGGCTTAGGGGGTCTGGGGCTCAGCGTGACAGGTTTCGGGTGTTGGATTTAAGGCTCAGGGGTGCATAATTCGGGCTCATTGTCTACTTACTCATTTTGTTTAATGCTTTATCTATACTCACACACACATGCATGCATGCATGCATGCATGCATGCATGCATACATGCATGCATGCATGCATGCATACATACATACATACATACATACATACAGGCAGGCAAACAGACAGACATACAGACATACTGACATACAGACAGACATACAGACAGACAGACAGACAGACACACATACAGACATACGGACACACATAATTACACAATCATGCATGTTCCTCTGGTATGTGCGAATATTACCGTATAGAATATATATATATATATACATAGATTATACGCACCCCCCCCCCCCACATTTATTTACATAGCGTCACTATTATCGACACAGCCCCAGAAGCAGAGAAAGAGAGACAGAGAGAAAGAGAGACAGAGGGAGAGATAGCGAGAGAGACAGAGAGAGAGAGAGAGAGAGAGGTTGAACACCTGGGTACCCATGTATGGACCCAGAAGGGGATATTATGACTAAGTACCCCTGAACCCTACACCCTGAACCCTTGAAAGAGGCGGCTGAAGTTAAGTGGGCGCTCATGACTTGAGATGAGGCCTAGCCCTGATCCGTTTTGCCGTTTGGCGGAGCTGGGTCAGCCGTCCTCAGATCTTTTGAGGAACTTGTGCACATGAGGCATCTCAACTTCGATTCGGCGTCGCAGTTGCCCGGTCCCAGTGTTGTTGTAGGAAGCGACCGCCGAAAGGCCACGGGTTCGCACCGCGTGGAGGACATCTTCAACGACATCTGCATAGAGGTCCGTCAGAGGGGAAGTGGCTGCCGAGATCTTTGCGGCTTCTTCCTGGAATAGGGAATGGTAGAGATAAGGCAGAGACGCGGAAGCGCATGCCTGACCGAGCCGGGAACAAGCATGTGAGCTTCAAGGTAGGTCCTCTTGTGTTTATCTCATTTTCGGGTTGGGGTCCTTGACACACCTACGCAAGGCGACCAGATAAACGGACTACAGCTGAGGGTCTATGGTCGCTAACCTCCCCCCACTCCTGAATCCGTTTTCGAACGCGTCGAAGACAGGCCCGTCCGTCGACCTCGAAGAACTTTGCCGCAAGGAAGTCTTTGCCTCGGTGACAGAGGGTTGAGGCTCTGTGGAGGGTGCTGCCGCCTCCGGAAAGATGCTGTTTCATGGACTTCGAAACGATCAGACAGAAGCTCATACAGATTCAACCGGCTGATGATGTGGTAGCAGGAACACATGTGGAACGACGGTCCAGCTTTCTCATGTTACCTAGAAGCACAGGCGTTCAATGCTGCACGTTTGTAACCGACTGGAGTATCACAACCAACCCACACATATTGCCCAGAACCTTGTATCGCTTTGCAGCAGTTTGCAGCATTGGACTTCCAAACCGCTACTTGGGAGTCTTCTATGAGTCTATGAAGGTCTCGATATTTCTAGAAAGTTTGCGCAAGTCCAAGCTGCTCTTACCGAGATCTGTCTTGAAGAAGTTCTTGTCTGCCGACTCCTGATACTTGATGCCGTAGTACAGGCGGCGCTCCACGTTATGAGCCGAGATGACCTCATTGCCGATGAAGTTCATGCACTTGAGCTTCAGGCCCTGTAGGTCATACTTCCAGGAGAGTGTCATCAGCAGCTCGAGGTTCCTTGGCTCCGATGTGGAGCTGAAAGATTGAAGAGCATCCCTCAAGCCTCATATCTTAACCCCGTAAGCCCGGAAACCGAAACAAAAAGAGCCACTCCTGATGGCGACCCAGAAGTCGTTGCATCCACCGCCCTTTTCGACGCGGCCGCAGGCAGGAGGAAGTCGAGCACCACCTCGAACTCCCCAGCCGTCACATCCAAAGGCAGCCTCGGCTGGGAAATCTAAATCTACCGCCGTAGAGACCAAAGGAGGGGCTATACTTCAAACGTACTTATTGGGGAACCCTCAGGAATGGCATTACGAAATCTTCGTGTGGGCTTGGGAGATGTAGCAATCGGATGCAAGATCGGTGAAAGCCTAGAACCTAAACCACCGACCCACTGATGGGCCCTTCAAGTCACTGTCGCCTCCCCTTTGAAAAAGAGCAAACGCCCCCCCCCCCCCCCCCCT